GTGCACCACGTGGAGGTAAGTCTATCGCACACCCCACAGGATGAAATATAATAGTCTAGCAAATAAATTTACAAATTGATAACTTACGAATTATTTTAAATATTTGCCTAAAGAATGCATGCTCGAAGCTGCAAAATTTATTCGTTATTGTCGGAGAAATTACTTGACCCTCGGATGATAACCCTAGAGCCTATTAGTCAAACCATTGTACAAATGCATACTGTCCCGAATAGTTAGAATTTAGACCATACATCAATCCAGACAGCAGCCTTGACCCCCTTGTTATAGTAGTTATAGCCAACAGTTGTCTGAAAATATCTACTTGAGACCTAGATTCAGATGTCAGGCAGAAATCAGACTACTATAACAAGGGGGTCAAGGCTGCTGTCTGGATTGATGTATGGTCTAAATTCTAACTATTCGGGACAGTATGCATTTGTACTAAAATCAAAATAATGGCAGTTGGGCATTGCAACACTGGAATATTAAGAAAAATATCTAATGACTTAAGAACAATAAATCGAATAGGAGACCTACAAAGGGCAAATTAAATACACTAAAGGATGACTTGATAGACAAGCATAAAAGTATTTTATTGAAATTTACCCCAATTATTTTCAATGGCACGTATCAGCTAGAAATTTTAACCAAATTATGACAAATAAAGTTAGGAAAGAATGTTCAAAATTTCTTTCCAACCCATTTTGAAGTCTAAATGCGACGACTGGATCAATAATGCGGAAATTAAATTAGGCTGATTAGAACTGAAACAAATAAACATAACAGAAATGGTACCGCATCAAATGAATTCAGTAATGGAATAAGGTACTTCAAGTCGAAATTAAATTTTTTGAAACCTAATATTACATATACCACTTTCAAAAATATTAATCGGCAATTTCTGCCATTTTCCATCCGTCACTCCTCCACGTTCAACTATTTAGTGCAAAGATCTAATCGACTCTAGTAAAAGAAAGTTGTATTCGCTCTTCATAAATCCCTTAAATTGGAGAATGTAATAAGTAACAGTAGATCAAAGAGTCCAAAACATGTTGTCAAATCTCACTAGTGCGTCATTCTCATCAATTGAAAGAGTCATTAAAAAGCAGCTAAACACCTGTCCATACAAAATTAGGTGGCATATGCGGCCGATGATACCACCAATAATAGCCAAAATAAACCTAAGTGTTGGCGACATTGATCAGGTCAAATGGCGTGCACATGCAGGTGTAAGGATATGTTCCAATGAGGTATACGCCAAAGTTTGCACTTGTCGATTGGATGAGTCACAGATAAACTGTATTTGACGAAAGGATGCAGATTTATCCTTGTGCTAGAGATACCTAAGTCGTATCGGCAAGTAAATACGTTAGGATGAGAATTTGGGGTGATATTTTGCGATGAGTTATTCATGTCGTCAAGCGATCAGTAGACATCAATGCAAGCTTTTCAACACATCATTTGGACGAAATTAATAGTTTACTTAAAAGGTGCCAATGAATAACTCTTTGCCGAATTAAAAATAGAAGAGTTTAAGGATAGTTTCCCGAAATAAGACACACAAGACCAGTATTCCTAGAGAAATAGGGGAACTTGGATATGGCAGTAAATATACCATTTCATACAAATTTGAAAATGATCGTTTTCTTAAGCGCATTTTAATAACACCAATGCCGAAGAATATAGTTATTTTTAACGTTATGACTTAACGTTATATAGACTTAGTTTTACTGAGAATAAGGTGCAAAATTCACAATTGTTCAGAAATCTGATATTTACTTGTAGCAGGTGATGAAAATCCCATAACTGCCGAAGCTCCAGCCAATCGTTTACAAGGAGTGACTTGATATCGATCGAGGTCAATTTCGCCGGGAATATGAACCATAATCTCCTCATAGGCATCCTTCAATCCTGGAGTCTCATTCATTCGCCTAACTGGATTCACTGATTTTGAGGATGGTCTCGTGGAAGGACGAGTCACTCGCCTGAATGCTGTCTCTCTACAAAGGGAATTCGATTCTCGATAAAATTCTCCATTAACAAAGTTATGATGTATGAAAACCAAACCATCCCAAACGGAAAGATAACAACACATACTCACTTAAACTTATTTTTACGATCTCTGAAATATTTATCCAGTGAGTCAGTCTAACTCAATAGTTCTTATGAGACTATAACTTTATTTAAAGACTCACCCTAAATTTGTTTCAGGAAATTCAACGTCGGCAAGAGAACTTGGATTTTGAAGAGTTTGGAAGTTTGAATCATCAAGGGATTTCACACCAAAGAAGTTATCCACAAAGGATTCGTTCATCTTTGACACTTTAACTGTCTAAGATAAGAAAAATGCTGATTTTAGATGCTACGAGCTCACAATCCCTCCCCCCCCCCGGAAAACGTAGAATCCACTTATATAGAAGTTTTCTGTCTTATAACAATCCATTAAAAGTACATTTGTATTAAATTGTGGGAAAGCCCAGAGATTGGTCAAAATACAAAAGTAAGGAACTTCCTTCCGGTAAAGTAATGTTGCATTTAAACGCAACAACTAAAAAAGAAAAGCAGAAATAGAAGAACTGGCATATCCAATTGGATCAGATAACTTTCCTAGATGAAAAATATTCAATTAAACTATCCTTTCCCATCAAATGTGTACTATTAATCATTCTGCTTAGTGGGGTGCGCGATAGACTTACCTCCACGTGGTGCTCCCTGGGCAACGTATACTCATACGGCAAAAAAGTCTATTAACCGGCATCTGACTTCAAACTACCATAACCCCCCTGGTTGTCATATTCGACCCCTTCCATAGTACTCACCTTACCTTTTTCTCTACCTATGTGTCTGTCTGCCTCTTTTACTTCTGTGAATCGCTCTTCTGTTCCCCACCCCTCGACTTTCTGCTACTTTGATGAACCATCCCTCTGTGAAGCCCGAAGTCAGCTAAAAGGCTAATGATATCTATCAAAACGCCTGCCATTTGAAATAAATAAATAATTCTGCTTAGTAGTTATCAAGGTCGTTGAAGACACCTATTTCTTACATTTCATCAGAGATAATCGACTCTTATCTTGGAGCCTCCCCTGTAATGACACTCTTTCCTCGTTCTATACACACAGTGCAATTGGTTATACTTGTAACGTAACAAGAACCGCATACAAAGATCCAAAAATCGTAGAAAAACAGATCTTGAGTAGATCACACTTTCGTACTTGGTGTTAATTAAAGCAGCTTAAATAGACCGACGGAGTCAGCCTTGGCGATAGGGAAAAAGAGTCAGATTCAAATCTTCAGGTCCCCAAGATAGAGTTTATTACGTGATCATAACCTGAGAGTCCGAATAACATAATTCTGATCACTGAATGAATATACTGATGCGCATTGATGATGAACTTGGAAAATAATCAATTTTATCAAACAAATGAAGTGCCAGAATGCTATCGGAAAAAATAGATGCATCAAACTAGAGGCCTATAATTAAAGCAATCCCATTTTGGTTATCTATTAAATTAACTAGTCTACGTTCCATAACCTTTGATCTGAGTTGCAACACTAGCATAGAGTGGAAAAAGTACATTCTAAAACCCCAATGTTGCAACCTGATATGAACTTTCTAGCACTCGAAATATTTTGGAACCAGGGTTTTCAGCATGTGCAAAAGAGGCTAATTAACCCAGCGGGATTCCATTAGGAGAAAAGACGAGAGGGAAAAAGTGCATATAGAAAAGTAGGTAATTTACACGAAACTTTTAACAAATAAGTTTGGCAAAATAGGCTTACAGTCTTTACGACACTCGTTGTCAAATCATTTTGACTTTGGTGAGCAGTTGGATTGAACAACTTGGACTCTAAACGAAGAATGAAAACCAGGGAAATGATAGTGAGCGTTTTGACTCTTTTCAAAGAAATAGAAATACCAACTTACCAACTTCAAATGTTCGACGCATAATTGGTTTCTGTGGAGTTCGAGCTGGTTCAATTTGAGACACTTTCTCTGTTGGAACATCTATTCCAAAGAAAAATAACAGGATAGAAACCGTATTTTAGGATAGAAATACCTCAGGGTGGCTTAAGCGAATGCAAAAGTGAAAGTATAATTACAACTAGAGCAATCATATGATTATTGAATTTGAGTCATTTGAATTGTGGGCGAGTGGGCAGAAAAAAAGAAACAAAAATAGTAATTGTGTGGTGCTAATTGTAATCCCTTCGATGAAATTTAAGTTTACAATAGGCAAAGTGAAATAGGTGAGCCCAAGAAGAGGAGCCAAATATAGGTGAGCTTGGAGAACTGATACTGCTAATATGAAGTATTTAGGTTTCTAAAGGAGTGCTTTAAATGAATATAGCACACCGTAAAATGATCTATAGAAAGTGCAGTATCAATCAAATATCAATTACACAGAAGTGCACAGCCTCCCCTAGGCATAATCTCCTTTATTACAGATCTTTACCATTATTAAGAACCAGAATAGAGCATTCTACTATTTTGCTCTCTTCCATGTCTAGTGCAGTAAATGATCGATTGCGAACACTTGTACTTGTCCACCACGGGTGGAATAATCGATACAGCTTTTGATTTATTAGGGTCTGAGTTAAAAGCTCTTAATAAGAACCCCTGTTTCGCTTTGCTCTTCACTGAATGCCTTGTTTACTCAACAGCTAGGACATTCGAGACGATTAGGCATTGAGCGTAAACACCTTTTACTTTACAACTCGACCTTGTCAGAACAATACTTTGCCTGATTAGAGTGAATAAACACACTCAAATTATTGCCATGACTGAGTAATTGTTGCGAGAGTAGTGACGTAAACTGAACCAATTTAAGAGAAGCTTGAACAAAATCTGATGTTAACATGGCATTCCATCAACTTCTTTGTTACACCTGTCTTTCGGATTTGCGTTGAATACGATTTACAAAGAAAAGTAAAGTTAACTTGGTGAGTATTATACAAGCGACAATTGGGTAAATTAGTAATATTCACATGCCTCATTTAATAACTCATACAATTAATATTTGAAAACTGAATGACTTTCCATTTTAAGTATTAAATGTGACAGTGCAGAGTAGTGCAGAAATACGTTAAATGATTATCTTGATGGGCAGAATGACAACTTCTCAACCAGATTTAAGGTGCACTAGAAGGTATTTGGCATTTGCGTTTTTACAAACATAGATTCTCAAAAAGCATTACTAAGAATTGGGAAACATGCTCGAACCCACAGCACACTAAATGAAATATGAATCACATGCAAAAAAGGATGAAATAACTGCAAACAGTAAGATACATTTTGATGTGCGTGCAAAATGACATAAACAAAACGTAAAAACAGCAGTCAGCAGTATCAGAACCTCGTAGACTCACTGTCGGAGAATTCATGAAATGTATAACACCGGGGAGTCTTTGAAAGCAAATTCTTGCGAAGGACCACTTCCTCAGTGCCGTCTAAAAGAGTTTAAGGCAGCAAGGCGAACTTTAAACCTTCTGTTGGAAAAAAGTTTATTTGTTTAGGCGTTCGGTTGGGTTGCAACTGCGCAAGCATGAAAAATTTGAAATACACAATTGTGATTCGGAATTTCGGATGATTTCCGAAATCATTCACATGCATTTAAGATAACTGCTTTTCAATGTTCTCTGTTTTTGGGGTCATGAGAAATGGGATCAAATTGAAACAACTAATAAAGCTCTTCATTTATTGTTCGGTTTGAATTTAGTATATGAAAATTGGCAATTTTTTAACTCTATTGCCAAGCGTTCTCAAACACCTCCATTTCTATATTAAAATGCAATAAAGATACTTCCAGTCAATTATATACAACGAAGTCAAATGATGGACACCGAATATATGGCCTTAAATAAATAAGTGAATAAAAAATAAATAGAACTAGTTGATCCAGATAAAGAATGGCGCTTTCAGAACTATAGAGAAATCTGATTAGGTGTTCAGGAGATGATGGAGAGAAGTGAGAACCATATTTTCACAGAAGTTTGCATATATTTGCATCTTCATAAGCCCTCATTTCATAAACCGGTTACAGTGAATTTGATATTAAAAAACGCGTAAATCTGTTACAACCACATTTCACTATAATACAGATTAAGACTTATAAACGGCACAAAATTAATCAACACATTTTAAGAAAATGTAAAGGAGACCATCAGGAAATGTATTCTTAAAAATCGCAATTGACTAATCCAGGCTGTAGACTTTGCTGGATGAACAGGTTAGCTTGGGTCTTCACTATCCCAACTGGCAGATTATGACTTTTTATTGGTGTCCATTCGACAAACACCACAAAACAATCTATTCCACTCAGTGCCACTTAGTTTAGTAACTGGATTTCTCGAGGTCCAATTTGATCAGGCTATTGAATGGATTTATTGATACTTCAACTTCCTTCATATCCTTCCTCCCCTATAATTTGTTTCAACCTTCACTCCTTTAGTTTGCCAAAAAGTAAAAATACCACATTTTACTAAATTGATGGCATTTTTGTTAAAAAAAAGCGCGCATATCTTTGTAAGAATTGTTTATTTTAAGCCCCAAATAACTAAAGGTCGGAGAAATACGAGTGTACTTTTAACCACTAGGTCGGTGAAATCAATTTCAGCCTGGTTTTAATCTTCAAAACAAATATTTCGAGTTTTCATTTCAGCAAGAAACCAAACTCAATGTATTGAAATAGATCATCCTTTTTAGCTGATTTACCTTTAAACTTTTCCGGACAACGCGACCATTTTAAAAGCATTTGCCTAATGGTTGTAAAAGGTAACGACTTGCTAACAAGTGGGTGAGAAATTTTAAAACCAGGAAATAAACCATGTGTAAGTAGAAGAAATGGAAACTTACATGGGCTATTATTGGTGGGTTCCTTATTCGGAGTTTGAATGCGTTTTCGCCACTGTTCCTGACTCGCGGCAAGTTCATTCCGTATCTGGTTAACACTCTTCTGCGGGCTTGTCTCAATCTCCCCGCAAATAGTTTGGCCCCGTCTCTTCCACTGTTCACTGTTCTCCTGCATTTGAGCAATTCTAATCGAGAGAAGGAAATAAAAGAACACAAATCAAACGACGACAGAAAGCAATTCACGAAAAGCCACACACTGAATAATATTAAGTCATCTAAGGATAAAAGATAACCAACCCTTATAGGTCGATGTGCATTGATCAGTATAGCCTCTCTTGTCCTCAATACCAGAAAAGCGTTGGCTCTTCTTGAGATATAGGATAGATAGCAATATGCGACCTCCTTAGTCAAAGTTAGATTTTCAGTAAAATCCAAAAGAAATGTAAAAACAAATCAGAGAGAAAACACCCAACAATGAAATTAAAAGTGAGAGACAGTTTTAGCAAGACAGCTGGCTTCTTAAGACGAAGGTGAAGGAGCTTAGATACGGTGCCGAAACACTGTTAAATGGAAAACCCAGAAAATTTTGTCATCGTCAAAGCCATAAACTAAGAAACTGGGTCCGAATTCAGAAAATTGAAGATGCAAATAAGACTGGCTAAGGAGAATGCATAATTAAACGACAAAACTGGGCATTCTGAAAATAAGTTTCACCTATCACTTAGTCCATCACTGCTTCTCCACGAATACTTGAATAATATTATTCCTTAGATGTCAATAGGAAAGCAATCAAACTGAATCATAACCATTTCTGAAAGAAACCAGTGGAAGATAACGAAAAGATGCTATACAGATTCATTGACTTGAACTTAAAAATAATACCTTTCTTCAAATCTTCAATTAGTATAAAGCACACCAAGTTATTAAATAAACGAATAAATATTTACAAACAATGAACGCATCGAATTATTTGCTAATTAGAACGGAATAAGTTGTATATTGCTTTAAATCAATCTATTGGTTTGCTAAATAGGCTATTACCTAATTAAGCATTTGGCACCTGATTGATCAGGAAATTAAAATAATAATATTAACCATGGAAGTTACAAATTAACGGCACGATAAGCAGAGCTCACCTAAGTGCATAAAAGAAAGACGATAAAAGTAAGTAAAATGTAAAGTACTAAAAATTTAAATGAATAACAAAAAATTTAACTCAAAACTATTTAGCAACAATCGTTTGCGAGTAATCTTGTAAAAAACCAACCTTTGAGAAATCGACATGACTTCAGTTTCTCCGTCTTCTTCACTGTTGCTTTCGTAGTCAAGCGAGTGGACTCGTACTAATTGAGGTCTTGTTGAATTTGAAGTTTCAGAGAAATCCTGGTATTTAGGCTGACTATACCGCCATGTCCGATCAGCAAGCCTAAAATGGAAATAAAATTCGGTTTATCAAGCATTGAGCTTGGATTGGCTCAGGCATGAGCGAATCAACGATATGCGTGCCATTGCTGTTTAAAGGACTCCAACACTAGCTAACTCACTAGCGTGTGCGTCAGCGAACTTCGATTGGTCACGTGAGTTAATTATGTGCGTACGTTTACGTTCAGTTAAGGCCTTCACAAACTGCATATGCGTCATTAAGCCATTGGTCAACTCACAATCCAATTATTCACAAGCGTCCTGCAGTTATCCTTAATCAAATTCTAATAAGTTTGCTTGTGGTTCGTAGTCTCTCAACTATTTTTTAAAACTGTTTTAATATTTAAAGACACTTTCTGAAATGAAATACATGAATAGCCGGCATTGCTCTATTTAATGCCCTAAATTATCTAAATGTAAAAATGTTGATATCTTGAGCTGATTGAATAAACCTACCCAAATCATTAATTACACGATTTGGCTATTGCTGCTATAAAAGAGGCCCAGCGTGAATACAGAAAGGCAAGTTCCTATCATATTTTTATTTAAAAGCAATAAATACGGAACATTAATTGACCCCGCTCTATGTCGCTTTCGATATGATACGGGCTATGGGATCTCGTTTATACTGTCCACATTGTAATTACCTTTTGATTAATCAAGCCGTAGTCGTGGTGTTAAGGTAGATATGTGCGTATAGCACACGCAGTTATACCTGGATAAAAGAAAATCCGTGTCCTGTATCACATTGAAAGTCATATTGAGCACTCCAGCGGGGTCACGTAATATTCTGTATTTACTGCTTTGAAATAAATATGCTATATTTATTTACCACTATGTACTCACACTGAGCTTCTTTTATTTAGTCCAAACTATACATCTGAATTTAAAGAATTGTAAATTACGCTAATAATATTAAAATATAGAGTGATTTTCTGGAGATGGTAAATTTCAAATAAATAGAATGGAGCATATAATAATTTAGGCAGAACTTACTTAGCCTTAATTTTTCGACGTACAACTTGATTTGAAGGCATCTTCACGATTTCAACTTCATCTTTAGCCCTAACATCGACCAGTTCAAATCCTTTGAGCCTTTCTGTAACCGATAAACACGATTCTTCCTTGTTTTCATAATCTAAATCCATTTCGATAATTTTAATTTATAATTTGCACGAAATGGATAAGGTTCTGGGGATTGGGAAATTCCGAACCAGCTTATTTATTTTCGGCACCCGTGTCCAATCAACTTAGCGTGACTTGGGGTTGACCAATAGGTGAGGGTTGTGATCCAAGCTAAAGGTGCTTGCACGTGGCCTATTTGCCTACATTAGGTGCAAATTTTGACAAATTATTATTAAAATTCATGCTAATACAGTTCACTTACAATAGGTTTAAATAGTTGCAAGCTTTTTAATTTTGGGTTTCTCTAGATTTGAACCGCAAAATGTTTCTATATGAGGAAAGTTTGTGACAAACAGGCAGTTAATTGAAAGATGACTAAAGCAGATTTTGAGTTATACTTGTGCTCATTATCGACAAAAGCGCAAAATAGTAAATTCTTCGAGGAAACTCCTCAATCGAAGTTTAATTGAACCGTCAATTACTCAGGGTGCTGATTTTAAACAGTAGACTGAATAAAAGCAGGAAGTTGGCTGATGGACAGGTCCAAATTGACATCTTGGCGCTCCTTAATTCAAATATGCGAATTTTCAATAAGCAGGCACTGATCGAGGAACCACCATTGCTGACAGATAAACCCCGCGCATTAAAATAACAGACAATGGAAAGTGATAATAACAAGTAGATCGGTGATGTTGAAAAAATAGAAATATATAAATAACTGTCAGTTGGTTGGGCAAATTTGACTGACCTAAAAATTAAATCTACTGGCTGGTTTGTTGACAAATAACAGACCACCAAAATTCACAATGAAATCTCTTAGCCAAATCCATGAAATTTCCTGGAGAAGGGAGACAATGGGATCACCTCCGTCTTTTGAATTGCTAAAAATTCGTCAATTCTCATTAACTCATTCTCTAAAGTTTCCGAAATTTTCAATTGTAACAATGGTTTTCTCAAAGTGACATTATTATTGATTTCGTAATTGGTTCTACTATTTAGCTTTACTACTGTCTTTGAAGGGATGTACCTAGCTTATCTACAAGTATGCTGTTCTTCACGTCAGTGGAAGTCTCATTAACATCAGACATCAATATGGTGGCCAAGGCCTGTTCCCCCGGCAAAGTTTGCCACCACCCAACAGATTGAACCTAACGCCTTGGCGATAGATCCATGTGTGTTCGATCTTTAATAGAATTTTTTCAGCATCCATGCCTCATTTCTTGGCATGAAAAAAGCGAAGTGGTGGAAACAATCATTCACAATCATTTCCAACAATGGGAAATCGGTTTAGTCTTTCTTCTCTTGACCTAAATATGTGAAGATTACTAGAATCAGGGGGCCATTAGAGAGGTATTTTATCTATTAGAAACGAACTCTTATGAGATGTTATCTAACTTGTGATGGCAAAGAGAAAATGAATAGAGAATAAAGGAAATGGAAAATAAGGCTTCAGAACTAATTATAATACGAATACTTAAATGAGAGTCCAACTAACTAATGACATTTCTTCTCTTCAGGAATTGAAGAGTTTGAAAATTACATAAATTTACATTAAATTGATAAGGGTGTGTGATAGCCTTACCACCATATGGTGCACCTTGGGCCGCGTATATTCATACGGCAAATAAGTCTATAAACCGGCAGTTGAATTCTGACTCCAAACTACCATGACCTCACCTCACAGTACTCTTCTTACCCCTTCTCTGCCTTTGTGTCTGTCTGTATGTCTCTTTTACATCTGTGAATCACTCTTCTCTTCCCCACCACTTTGATGTTCCTTCCCTCTGTGAAGCCCGAAGTCAACCAAAGGGTTAATGATAGCTATCAAAACGCCCTCCATTTGAAATAAATAAATAAATAAATAGATAAGCATTATATTATTGAAATTGACATCAGATATAATTAAAACCTGGCGATCAAAAATGATTAACTGGCGATAAGATCTTGACTACGGTATCTACAGCTGGTCCAGATGTGTATGTGTTTAAACAAAGATAGCAAAATAGACACCAATAGCTACATCCAGACATCGACGGCAGTGCATGACTGCGTTTAATAAATAAATGTTTTGAATCTAAGCCTAATTTATTTATCAATAAATTGGGGTGGCATCCCTGTTACCTCTACTAATCCAACTACCTGAGTGACTTGACTTCGACCGTGTATTTTATACATTGAATTTATTAATTTATTTACAATTAATTTACTACAATTATAGAATAACAAAAATAATGAAATCATTTCGGAAATAATTTTGTAAAGATCTATGTTAATTAGACTGATCTAAATGTTCTCTTGATCTCATTGCTAAGTATGATGGATACTGGTAAAATTTTTAATTTTTTATTTGACGAAAATAATTTGGATGGCCTTTCCATGATTAAACTATTCATTAAGGCTTGGGAAGGAATCTTCGCACTGCTGTTATTATAACATGAAATCTATGTAAATAGGTACAAATCTGGTTTAAAAATACCTGTTATATTTATTTATTTATTTCAAATGGCAGGCGTTTTAATAGCTATAATTAGCCATTTAGCTGACTTCGGGCGTCATCAAAGTAGAAGAAAGTCGAGGGGTGGGGGTCAGAAGAGCGATTCACAGATGTAAAAGAGGCAGACAGACACAAAGGTAGAGAAAAAGGTAAGATGAGTACTGTTGAATGGGTCGAATATGACAAGCAGTCGGGCCATGGTAGTTTGAAGTCTGAAGTCAACTGCCGGTTGATAGACTTTTTTGCCGTATGAGTATACGTTGCCCAGGGTGCACCACGTGGAGGTAAGTCTATCGCACACCCCAAAATACCTGTTATAAACCCTTGCAAATTTGAATGCGCAACCAGCCTAACGTGATTTTAAGCCCCACCAAATTAAATGTCAACACTATGCCACATAAGCCTTATAAACCTCATTCACCAGTAATTTAAAAAGCAATAATGGGGGGGGGGAGTAAGAATACGCTGCAAAAGGGATTGTCTGAAGGTTTGATAATAAAGGGTTAGAGGTTAAAATACCCTAATTCGTCAAGAAAAGGAATTGTAGTCTTGATGAAAATGCCTGAAATGACGCAAAACACGAACAACTCCCAGTTACTTAGCAATTGTAACAGTGAAGATAACCGACAATCCAATGAACAAAAATATGCACTTTAACTACCTCGTGGGTACTTACTACATCCTTATTTTAAAGCTCTAGAGCCTGGGCAAACAGTCTTAATTTGAGTCATTGCGAATATGGCGCATTTGGTGTTGCAATTAGATATCGATCGGGTAAATTCCTGTAATTCTTCTCACCTAACAAAACTCGTTAACCATCGATACGTTTAAAACATATCCTTTTTTACCAAAATAGACATTTGTCAAACTATTCATTTTTATTCATATGTTCTCATCTTTTGGATCACTTGAAGCGAACTCATAAAATAAACGGGGAGCTAGCAAATGGTTGGAGTTACTAGTATGATCACTGCAATGAATCTTAAACACTACCATTATTTACAAAATTAAAACTCGATTTTAGCCTCAAGTTAATCCGATTATGTACTTTAATAGCTTCACAATCCAATTACATCAACAAAATTTTTAACTTATTCATGCTCCGCATTTATCAATTCCCTTAGATTTACTGTTAAGTATGAAAATGATAGTTGTTCGTTATTTAATAATTATTGATTGAAATAACTGAGAGCATCCTCTTCAATTGGAGTTAAATTTAAAGAAAACTGTTTGAAATTGCACCAGATATTGTTTAAAGCGCCAAGAATTGCATACGTTTTTATCACTACGAATTAGCTCTCATTCGGTTTTCAGCAGAAAACCGCTTACCTAGAATCTGTTAAGCACAAAGCATACGCATTTAAATTCAATTCGTTGCATAACAATGTTACTTTAAACTATTGCTACACTGAGAACTATTGGCAGCCTTCTAAAGAAGCTCAACCAACTCGAGAAAGCTTATGACAGTTGAAAATATGAAATATATCAGCGATAGGACTTAGCACTTTTTGCCTGCACTCCCTAACATGATGTAATAATGGAAAAAGTTCCCCTATTTCTGCAATAGATATGAATTATATTGAGATACGTAACTTCGTCAGATGTGATCTTCGTACTTGTCTTAATCGTTATATATTTGCTATATGAATATCGGCCTTCTTGAAGCCGTTTATAGTGGTTCGAAAATAAAGAAATGAATGAACTAATATAAACTTGCTAACATTAATCTTTAATAAAATCCAGCTTTGCAGTACTCAAGAAAGGAAGATAAGAAACGTATTTTATAATGCTTTTTAACGATGACAATCTACAAGGCACAAGGGTAATCTGAGAATTTTAAACCTTGTTTTTGTCACTAAGGCACATATAGAGACAGGGAGAGAAAGAGTTGGGCATCGAACATTATTTTCAGTAGCAAAAAAGCTAGGAAAGTTAGAGGGATGAAAGTTAGCATGATGCAAGATCTCGCCTTCTCCAAGCTGTTCTAGTAAATCCGCAGTCCTCGATATTTGGAGGGATTTTGCGCGCAGACTATTTCAGAGAAATCGCTAAGCACACTGGCCGCGGGACTTGACAAACATGAACCGATCTCTAAGTCTTCTTCCTTGAAGCTCTCCATGGGCGAGTCTGAAAGAAAATTTGAAATGCTAATTATGGAATCTCGACGATGCTAAGACCTACCATGAGGATCTGAGAACTCTCATTTTTTGCGTTATTTTGCAACCGATTCATTCATTACAATTACAACCATTCCAAGCCAGAGAGTAGAGACTTATTTAAACGATTCCGTCATTTTACCGCAATACCCATTTTATTTTCTAAAATTTGGCAACTGGTGAGCAAAATTAGGAATTCGCCCTCAACACAACATAATGCCATCATATATCAAAATCCCAAAATTTTTTAATATTGCATTTCCTACCAGCGCTCGTAAATTCCAGTCCTCGTTCATTAGGATATTGATTATTGGATTTCCCCGCTCACACCTGGTTTTGTAAAACTCCCAGCGAGTAATTACC